TGGGAGACCTGGTAAACCATCCGTGGCTAAACCCCAGCTACTCCTTCACCCACGGAAGCCTATACTGTTGAAACAGAAGAAAGGGTCTTCCTAAACCCGAGACTTCTGCAGCGTGATCCACACACGTGCTATTAGGGATGCCCGCTCTTGATCTAAGAATTTAAATATTAGGACAGGAGTGTAGCTCAGTGGTGCATGCTGGGGCTAGAAGGTTCGGGGTCTGGGTTTGACCCTCAGCACTGCTGAAAGGGTTGTCGCCTTCAAATGCTGCAGGGAGCTCAGGAGGCCTCACAAGCTAGTGGGTGATTGAAGCCAAAGGACTTGCCTGGATTTCTGTTGGGATCTTTTCCAAGACATGCCAATCCTCCTTCCACTTGGGCCTGTAAGCACCGCTGTATCTGTGAGAGTTGTCTGCCTCAGGTGGCTCGAGATGGCCATCTCACAGCTCTTCCCTCTGTCCCCACCCTCTGGTCCCTGGGCCACTTTTTAAGGCTATGGATGAGGCTGGGGTGGCAAGCCACCCCTAGGTGTGAAAGCCGCAGACTACTAATGCTTTTCTTGGAGATGGTTCCTTTGCTTGCTAGCCAGCTTTAAACAGCAGTATTAAAAATGGCTTGATTATTTTGAGAAGGTGGCCTAATTAGAAGCTATATACTCCTTCGACGTATGTGTTTATACATAGCACTTTAGATAAAATACATATTTATGAGTGTGTGTGTGTGTGTGCTTGGCAATTTAATTACCTGGGCTAAATTGTTAGAAGAAATACCCAGAGTGAGCCCCTTCTCTGGTGCTAGATTCAGAGCCGAGTCTGCCACAGAAGGGGTAGCCTCTCGATGACTCCACAATGGAAGTCCCAATTGCACAGAGCCCTGCCCCAGTGTCAAGGGACAGTGTCTTTGACACAAGCTGATTCTGACCTCTGCTGTGCTCTGAGGATGTCCCTTTTCTATTGAGTTGGACGGGTTGGGGAACACCAGGGCAAGTCCTTACCACAGCTCTGAGAGACATTGACTTCAGGCTTTTGTTTCTGGAGCTGGCTGTCTAGCCTTCCTAATGAGCAAATATGTTCTCTTTAAGGAAACAAACAAACAAAGCAGAAACACCAATTCATCTGGATTTTCTTCATTTGTTTTAAATACAAACAAACAAAAGGATGGTGGTTATTTCTTCACCAACTATTTCCAATGCAAGTTGCCTTGTTGCTCGGGGTGCTTGGATGGTGCTTGTCACCATAGGACCCACAGGGCCAGTTCCAACTGTTACTCAGTAAGGCTTTTTTCTTTCCAAAATTCCCAGTGTTCCTTTAAGGCCCATTTAGCTGCGGGTTTTGTTTATTCTCCCGGCAATCAGCATTTAAAATAAGACAAACAAGCGTTTTTTTTCCTGGGCTGTGAATCCCTGCCGGCCAGCCTCCACCTGCACACCTGAAGCCTAGGCGTCCAATCGAATTTCCCAGTAACCTAGAGCCCCTTCAGAGACCTGGCCCCTCTGCCTATCAGGCTGGGAATAGAGAACTTGAGCAGCGTAAATGCAATTTTAAGAATTGCTAATGACGCTAGAAATCTGCAATGCAATTAGCGTCATTGGATTTGGCTGTCCTCCGAAGGCACAAACCTCCTTGTCATACTGCAGTGGCAGAGGAGGCAAGTGGGCCCACGCGTGCCCAGCCCAGCCCTGGGGATGCTGGCAGCCCCATCGCACCAAGACTGAAGCAGTTGGTTTGGCTTCCTGTCCTTGTGTCGCTGCTGACTTCTTTGTCTCTTTTCTGGGTCGTGGGGGGTTAGATGCAGGGTTGGCTTGTAACCTTCCCTATCCAATCTTCCAGGAGAGTCACTCTGTTATCTAGGAAATTGGGCCCCACTCTGTGAGCTCATTTTGCCTCCTAGTATTTCAGTTCAACCTTGATTCCTCCTGTTCTGGACCAGTAATTTTGGCAGGGTTCATTGTCATCTCTGCAGTTATGGGGACCTCCCAACACCATTACCCACCACAGGAGCTTTCTCTCTCTTCTCCTTCTCTCTATCTTGCTCGCCACCCCCCCCAACTGTCTGTGTTTCTCCCCACCCCTCTGGTTCCCTTGTCTTCCTCATGCTCCACAGGTGAGGAGAGTTTAAAACGGTGTCTGAAGAGGAGGAGGCAGAAGTACAGGCAATGGGGGCGGGGTATGAATGTGAACTGTTGGAAAAAAAAACAAAGCCTTACTTCTTCATAGGAAAATTATTCTTGCTTCCTGGAAAACTAACACGGGCTATGCATGCAAATCCTGTTAGCTGCCTAATAGGCTGCCGAATGCCACAGATGATCTTAGTGGGCCTGTTCAGTTCAGCAAAGGTTTCTACTCTGGGGATCTTCTTTCAAACACAGAGGCTCAAATCAGAAGCTCACAGAGGGGAGCTGTTCCCCCAAGATTCCAGATGTGTCTGCGAGACAACACGTTACGGGGCAAATTGATTTCACCCCTGGGAAAGTGGAGATTTTTCAAAGTTATGTCTGTGAAGCTGGCTAATGCAATTCCCCATTAGTACATTAAAGTGTGCCCTTATTAATTCAAACATAAAGGCAACAAAATAAGCTGTTAAATTTAAAATATAATACATATATAATGAGGAGAATGTGTGAAAGCCTTATTCAAATGAAAATACAGGAGTGTTTGAACTACTGAGGTATCTTTTGTATTGAATTATGAGCATATGTAATAGATTTAATTATTAATTTCCCCATTGTTCTATGCATACAGACAGGGTTCAAGGCACAGTCATTCTCTGGCTTTCATAGATCTAATTTGTATAATTATTGCCTGAATAAAGAATTGCTCCAATTCCTAGCTCTCTCTATCTCTCTCTCTTCCCCCTTCTAAATACTGTTTCCATGCTGCATTCCGAAAGGCGAGCACCTGCCACTTCTTCAAAGTCAGCTGATCATTTGGAATGATGGACGGCGCGGCCGCCGATGACGTCCCCTTTCAAGTCTCTTTGTCTAAGTGAATTATCGTGCGTCCTTTTAATTTTATTGAACAAATTACATTTGTCAAGGTCTATCTTTGTAAATAAATGATAACTAGAGACACATGGATGCGTATTTCTGCTGTTCAAGGGCTCTTGTTCCATTTCTGGAAGCCAGATGAACATGGAACAAAGGAGAAACTTTCCTCTAAAAGCAATTATCTTTCTGCATTCCCATCAGTATAATTATATTGCAGGGAATTTTAAGGAGCTGTAGAAGTAGAATTGAATGCTTAAAACTGTGTTTGCTGAATTGCTATGCAAAAGTTGAACAGGCTGTACGGCATCAGGCAAAATAGTAGCTCGCTCCTGGCCACATTCCCCTAGGTTCAGGTTGTGCCTCAAGGACAGAGGTGGTGTGGGGTGACCTCGTCCATGTTGAGGGGTCCTGTGTTTCTTGAACAGAATCTGTAATGACATTTCTGGATCCTGAGGGCTGTTGGCAAGGTGACTGGGAATGTAGACAATAAAACCACCCACTTCCAGTCTATCTGGAAGGGTTCTGGTTTGCTGATTGCTCTCTGCCCAGAAGAGACACCTACTAGCTTGTTAAGTAATCCACGAACTGGGGGTGGAATACAGAAAGGACTGTTCACCGGTGGTGGTGGCAGCGCTTACTTTAACCCCTAAAGCAAACCAGCAGCTGACTTGAAGAGGTATTGAATGTGGTTTGTGTGGCTGCTCTGTCAATAAGGCGTATCAGCTAGGGTCATTTCTTCACCATTGGCTTCCCCACAATTTAGTGAGCTGTAGCTACGAAGTAAATTGTACTATCTTATCACTGATGGCTCAGAAGTAGTGTAGTGTGTGTGTGTGTGTGTGTGTGTGTGTGTGTGTACTCAAGTATCTTTCCTTAGGACATGAATACTCATTTTGAGACAGGGTCTCTCCCTGGCCTGGAACTCGCCAAGTAGGCTAGGCCAGTGAGCGTCAATGAGCTGCCTGTCTCTACCTCCCCACCATCAGGGCTGGCAATCACTTTTGCCAATCTAAGAAGCACAAATGGACAGTTTAGAATGGAAATGGTCATTAGTGAGAAGCAAAATAGAAGACAGCAGAACTCTGGCAGATCCAGTGTGGTAACTTTGAACTACTAGGCAGCTGATGGAAAAACACTGTAGGCTAGCCATTCTGAGAAAAAAGAAATCCAGGAAGGTACAAGAAATCCTTGTATCTTCAAAGAGAAATGGGTGTATCAGAAGCCTGGAAATGAGATTCCATGTTCTAGTAGGTGGTAGGGGGCAGGGGGCAGGGCACAGGCCAAGGGTAGGATGTCAGCTGCAAGGTGAAGAGCTGGGCTGGGTGATCAAATGGCTTATACTTTGATGCTGTGCTCAAGGTCTGGAGTTCCTGTCTGAGCTGTTGACCTCCAACAGGAATGGTAGAGGGGAAACCCCTGTATTGGCATTGTATGACTAGAGCTTCATGAGCGTGTTGAAGGGAAAGACAAGTTTATCCTCCTAAGGAAACTAGTCTGGGGGCTTTGCTGTGTTGCTCTTTGCTGTTTTGCTGTTCTTTTCCTGGGATATCAGCTGTATTAGTAATAAGCAACCCAATGAATCAAAGCCAGTGAGTCATCATGGATCAGGAAGCAAGTGATTCACACAGTAGGTTTAAAATCTTGACTTGGGCATCTCAGTTGTAGACCCTGCTCTGCCAGGACAACTTGAACTCCTTTCTGATTCAGAGCATCGCACGAGCTGTGCAGGGATGGGCATGGACAGAAAGTCAGCACACTCAGCTGAGAGAGGAATCTGGGTCCCATAGAAAGCACTGGATCCTCTGCCTCGAACTAGGAATAGAGATGGGTTCACAGGTGTCCTGTGGTCAAGTCTACTGTGAGTGAGTCTGATGGTGAGGCCGGACAAGAGCATCCGAGGTCATAGTCTGATGGTGAGGCCAGACAAGAGAATCCAAGGTCATAGTCTGATGGTCAGGCTGGACAAGATCATCTGAGGTCATAGTCTGATGGTGAGGTGGGACAAGAGCATCCAAGGTCACAGTCTGATGGTGAGGCTGGTCAAGAACATCTGAGGTCATAGTCTGATGGTCAGGCCGGACAAGAGCATCTGAGGTCATAGTCTGATGGTGAGCTGGACAAGAGCATCTGAGGTCATAGTCTGATGGTGAGGCCAGACAAGAGCATCCAAGGTCATAGTCTCATGGTGAGGCCAGGCAACAACATTTGAGGCTATGGTCTGATGGGGAGGTGGGTCAAGAGCATCCAAGGTCACAGTCTGATGGTGATGCCAGACAAGAGCATCTGAGGTCATAGTCTGATGGTGAGGTCAGACAAGAGCATCCGAGGTCATAGTCTGATGGGGAGGCCGGGCAACAACATTTGAGGGCATAGGACACAATGACAAGGGCCATGGGAAAGTGAAGCTTGCACTGATGTCCAACTAAGTGGGGGATGTGAAGGGTAGTAGAAGAAAGAATATGGAGGACAAGGGGCGTAGAGGGGCAGGTGTGTTGAGGAGCTGCCTCATGCTTCAAGATGTGAGGAGGAGGGTAAGGACGAGCAGGAAAGGACGGGAAGGTGGAGGGAACCATTCTGTGTCAGATGAGAAGGGCTGAGGACCCGCCTAGAAATGCTCAGTGGCACCGTTAGTTTGAGGCCAGACTGGCACGCACAATTATAGGAAAATGCTAAGGAGTCACAGAGTGCCATGGCTTAACCTCAACCACTCTGGCAGTCACAGCTGGTTACTGGGGTCCAGAGCCAAGTGAAAGCAAAAGTCCTTATTCAAAAGCTACGAAGAGGTTCTCTTAGAGGCCCAAGAATGAGGTAGGCGTGGAGGAACACACCTACAGTCTATGCAACACTTTCTCATGAATGATGTCTGCCATTTAACACTGAGTACACATTACTCGTACTGTACTTTAAGGTGGGGAAATAGCTCAGAGACCAGCTCCACCCTCATTCCTCTAGGCAGAAGAAGACTTGGAGCCCAACCCAAGGTATTTGATTTCACTCTGCCATGAGAGTTGACCCCTCTCATTTATCCCAGGCACCTGTGTGGGTCCTGAAGACATCAGTAAAGGACCTAGCCTGCTCTCTCATAGAGCACAGATCTTAGGAGGGCCTAGGTGTCATGCTTAATCAGAAGTTCTTTTAGGGTCAAGGACAGACATTATTTACTTTCTCTCTATCTTTATCTGTGTGAGTAGCACAGTTTAATCCACTTAACCTAACAGCCTTCATCTCCTTTTGTTTTGTTTTATTTTTGAGACAGAGTCTCACTATGTAGCCCCAATTGGCCTAGAACTCATTACATAGACCTGAAATCTACTTGCCCCTGTCTCCAAGTGCTGGGGATAAAGGCGCATGTCACCATGCTTGGCATGGCCTTGTTTTTTTGAAACAGTGTCCCTTATTGAGACCTGGAGCTCACTTATTAGCCTGAATTGGCTGCTCAATAAGACCTAAGTATCTCCCTGTCTCTGTCTTTCTGATACTGGGATCACCACGAGTGCCTGCCTGGTAATAGGTTTTCACACAGCTCCAGGGATCAGATCAGATCATCATGTTTTTGTAGCAAGCACTGAGCCATCTCCCTAGCCCCTCTCATCCCCTTTTAATGAATTAAAGAGTTTTATTAGCAAGGCACTCCTACAGGGACTATAGGGAGAGAAATAAACTGTGATTATTGTGTTATCAATTTGACATAATCTAGAATTGCCTGGGAAAGAGGCCTCTGGGCATGCTTGACTGCTTTAATTGAGATGGGAAGACCTGCCCACTGTGGGTGTTACCATTCCCTAGGCCGGGGGGATCTTAGATTGTACAAAATGGAGAAAGTGAGCTGAGAGCTAGCAGTGTAACTCTCTGCTTCTTGTGTGTGGGTGCAATGAGAACAACTCCCTACATCCCTTGCTGCTGTGGCTTCCCTGACAGCAAAGAAGTAGAACATGAACCAAAACAAGTCCACCCTCCTTTTGCATTCATCAGGGTATTGTCATCACAACAATGGAAAAGGAAACTAAGCCAGTATCTTACATGGATGTGTGTAAATAAATCAAAACCAGATCCTAGACCCTTCATCTCCACGAGGGGACAGAGGTCTGTTTAGTTCTTTCCTTAAGAAAGAACATGAGATCTGTTTTAAGAAACATAAGTCTCGGCGCGAGACTCAGTGCTTCTGATGAGGAATGGATTTCAAAGTATTAAATGGTTGCTGAGCAGTAGTTCCGACAACCAAACAATATGGGTCAAAGACACTTAGCTGGCTGACATCTTGGCCCCTCCCAGTGTCTCACACCGTAGAAGACCATTAGTGTTTGACACCATTGCGTGTGTCATTGACATTAGTTTGACACCATTGCGTGTGTCAAACGGTGTTAGCATGAACTAGTCTTCTCCTTGGTGTACTGCCCCAAAGGGGGACTGACAGATGGCTCTGGGTAATAGAACATGAACATTTAGGGTGTGGCAGGACCAGAGGGAGTCAGGAGACTGGGATCCTTCACTACCGGAGGCTGCCCATTTAAGACAAGGGAAAACTGAGTCATCTCTTTTTACAGGATGCAGCCTGGTCCTGATGCTATCTCTATAACGTGCCATGAGCCAGAGATCCTGGCAGCATGTGCAGTGAAGACCGACAACCCACACAAGCCTGCACACTGTAGAAGGCCTGGACCTCATCGCTGGCGTATCTGACCCGACAGCTAGGAAGGGGCTGAAAGTACGAGAAATGGTGAGTTGGCCTAGAGGACTGGTCTGAAACAGGCCTGGGGACCTCAGGGAGTCAGGAAGCCTGATGAAACCTGCAAGGCATCTTGGAATGCAAAGACCATCCTGGTACTAACTGGAGGTCCCTGGTCCCTTCATTATCTTCCTAGGCTTGACAGGGTTGTTGTCACATACCCAGGGCTTCTTGGTTGTGTGTTTGCTCTGTGTGGTGTGACTCTTCCTAATGGCATTTCTTTTCTGGCCTGTGGCATCATTGTGCTGTCAAAAAGTCCCTCTCCATAGTAACAGACGCTTCCACAGAGTTAACACCTCAACCCATTAAGCTTAAGTGCTTTTCAAAACATTTTATTATTGGCTGAGTGTTTGTGAGGCAGCTTACCTTGGACTCCGACCGCTTCAAGAGGTTTGTGCCTGTCTTGTGTTCCACAGGAGCTGCGCCACAAATACAGCACATTCCAGCACCCTTCCCTTACCTCTCTTCAGTGTGGGAAGGCCGTGAAGAATTTGGAATTCAGTTTTTATATTGTTTCTTAGCTCATTGAAAGAAGGATGCCTCTTTTAAAAGGCAATTTCTTAAATTGCATTTTGTGGGGCTGGAGAGATGGCTCAGTGGTTAAAAGTGCCTGCTGCTCCTGCAGAGGAGCAGAGTTCAGTTCCCCGCACCACGCACATTGGGTGCTTCATAACTGCCTGTGACTCCAGCTCCAGGGGTTCTGACATTCTTTTCTGGCCTCTGTGGGCACTGATGAACACATGCACATGTACTTACATGAATTTCTAAGGTCTTTAAAAAAATTGTACTTTACAGCCAGGCGGTGGTGGTGCACACCTTTAATCCTAGCACTTGGGAGGCAGAGACAGGCAGAACTCCGTGATTTTGAGGACAATCTGGTCTAGAGAGTGAGTTCCAGGACAGGCCCCAAAGCTGCACAGAAACTGTGTCTCAAAAAACAAAACAAAAAAATTGTACTTTACATGGATAGAATATGCCCACTTAGGTCAGACGATGATCGCACAGGCAGTGAAGGATGTTGCTCTATGTAGAACAATACACTGGGTTAGGATGTTGCTCTATCTAGGAACAATACACTGGGTTGTCACCTTCTGCATCCTTTCTGGTCCCTTCCTGATATCAGGGTCTCTAACTTTGTTGGTGGATAAGCATCTGCATATGTGTTCATGCCTCAGTCACTATGAGACAACTTGGCTGTCCCCAGGGAATAAACTTCATTATACTAATATCTTACTAGAATTACTTAAGTAGGCACACCCGTGTTTTACTCAAGAACCTTGCATTGCAAGCAAATTTGATCTATTTGTGAGGTATTTTCGGGGACCTGTTTTGGTTTGTGTGCTTGGATGGATGTTAAACAGCAAAGGATCTTGATGTACGACAGACACAACGCTGGCTGCTGTGGAGAGCCATGGCAGGCTTTTTTCCCCCCTCCTGCATGGAGCATAGAGTTTTCAATGTCGAAATGGATGCATTTAAACCAACAGGATAGACAGCTTAAGCAAAAACTAGAGTAAAGAACCATGATAGCAAACCACGGGGCACACTCGTAACAGGTGAAATAAGAGCCATTCACAAGGAGATTTGGATTTCAGCCCCTTGAAAAGGAACTATAAAAACCGGGCGGTGGTGGCACACGCCTTTAATCCCTGCACTTGGGAGGCAGAGGCAGGCGGATCTCTGTGGGTTCGAGGCTGGGCTGGACTGATAGCCTCCAAAACAATACAGAGAAACCCTGTCTCGTAAAAACAAAACAAAACAAAAAACAAAAAAACAGAAAAAAAAGAAAAGGAACTATAAGACAGTGACAGCATCTAACCTTCCGATGGGTAGATAGTGGCAAGGAGGCTAATGAATAATTTGTAAATTAATCTGTGGCTAACTGTAGTGGCTTCAGGACACCTCACTGCTTTGGGTTGTGGCAGGAAACGCCATTGTGGTGAAATAGAGTCTAGAGGAGGAGGTCCAAAGCTCACCGCCATCTTTGCTTCACTTATGTTGCTATGGGACTAGCCGCCTTTTCCTGAAGGTAGAGAAAGAAGCCCACATCTTCCCAGAGCTGACTTCACCACTCAATAGTACAGTTGTTTCCCTCACTTCCTGCTGTGTCTACATAGGCTCAGTGGGTGGGGACTTGGGAGAGGTCTGCTGTGCTGCCCTCTTCAACAGTCGAGGAACCCGGCTGCAGTCAGGTCCAGGGAAAGACAGTTGGCATTGGGCTTCTGTTTGAAGACCTGACAGCAAAATAGAGAATGGTTGCCATAGGGGGAGATGTTTGCCTCATCTGTGGCGTGTCCTTGGCAGGTGTGTGACAAACAGGAGCCTATCGGGAGGTGAGAGCAGTTCCCTGCTCCAGCATCACCCAAGAAGTGATGTGGGTGGCACTGAGGGTGTTGCTGTTGAACTCAGGGGCAGGATTCCTGGGGGGAGCTGGTGGCAATGGGCATGTGAATTGTGCAAATCAGACCTTGTGGTAATCCGTACTTGTCATCCATTGTCCTTAGTGTGACTTTGACTAAGCAAAGCAAAAATATCTCAGCTGTAGATTTACATGGAGTGACATTGTACTTATTTTGAACACTGCCTTCCAGCCACCAATTGCTTGTCTGTATTAGTGACGAGTGTTTTCCTATGACCACACATGTGTTTTCAGTCTCAGGTTTCATGTTTTCTGTGTGTGTGTGGAGGTCAGGGGTCAATTTTCTTTCATCATGTGGATTTTTGGGATTCATTTAAGGTCACTGGACTTGGTGGCAAGCACCTTTACTTGCTGAACTATCTTGATGGTTCAATGAGCAGCTGACTTTTAGCTAACACTAGGAACTTCTTCCTAAGACCCTTCTAAGGTAGGTGCTATACTTATTCTACCTCACAGATGGAAGCAGAGGCATCCGTGTTAGATGGCACTGTGCTGTGTTGTGGGACAGGACTCAAAGCCACGCTGCTAGTTTGGGGTCTTGCTGTAATCACTTTGTTAATGGGCTCCTGATGTCATTTCACCTCCTCCTCATTTTCCTCCTCCTTCTTTTGAGACAGGGTTTCTCTGTGTAGCCCTGACTGTCCTGGAACTTGCTCTGTAGACCAGGCTGGCCTTGAACTCAGAGATTCACCTGCTTTCCGAGTGCTAGGATTTGTTCTTTTTTTATGTTGTTTTGTTTTTCATGACAGGGTCTCACTATGTAGCTGTGGTTGTCCTGAAGCTCACAATATAGGTTATACTGGCCTTGAACTCACAGAGATCTGCCCGCCTCTGCCATCCAAGTGCTGGGTTTAAAGGCGTGGACCAGATCAACAGGCTCACGTGTCATTTGTTGTAACTCGATATGGGATTACAAGCCCAAGGGATAACAAAAGGAACCCAAGGGTTGCGGACATTCTTTCGACCACCAGGATGAGTGAGCAGTCCCTGTCTCATCTGAACAGCTCGAGGCCTCACACTGCACTTGCTTTTACTCCCATAGAGAAGCATCTGCATGGTTCTTGACCATCCATCACCTCATGGACCATCATGCTGGAGATGAGACTGAGACAGACCTGGTTCTCAGTCCCGCAGGGTTACCAGTCATCCTGGGAAATCAACAAGCCAAACAAAAATGTAGAATGAAGGCCACACTGGTCCACGCGTAGAATAGCAACCTCTGGTGTTTATTAGGCATTTTCTATGAGTGGTTATCTATTCTCTCTATAGATTCTTTCATCTAATTCTGGTTAAGTGGATAAGGAACTTCCCTATGCAGTAGATACTATTTTATCTCCACCTCACAGATGAGGACATGGAACCATAAAGTAATGTAAGGAAGCACATCTAGTGGGCCTAACTTTGTTGGGTGTTTGGACCTTCCATTTTAGTCCATTAGTGAACTCAGCTGATTGTGAAAACACAGCGTCTTAGTTACTGTTCTTTTGCTGTGAGGAGACCATGACCACAACTTATAAAAGAAAACATTTAATTGGGGGCTTGCTTACAGTTCCAGAGAGTGAGTTTGCTTCCATCGTGGAGAAGATCATGGCAGCAGGCAGGCAGGCATGGTGCTGGAGCAGTAGCTTACATCTTATAACTTATATCTTATCTGAAACATCTCAAGATAGAGGTAGAGAGAGACTGGAGATGGCATGGGCTTTTGATACCTCAGAGCACACCTCCTTCATCAAGGCCACACCCCCTAATCTTCCCTAAGCAGCCCACCATCTGGGAACCAAACATACAAATATATGAGCCTATGGGGGCCATTATCATTCAAACCACAATACACAAATTCAGAAGTTCTTCATTCATTCATTCATTCATTCATTCATTTACCCACTCAAAAGCAGTTGCTAGGTATCTTCATTGCTTAAGATATAAAGAGAAGGAGCCGGGCGTTGGTGGCTCACGCCTTTAATCCCAGCATTCGGGAGGCAGAGGCAGGCAGATCTCTGTGAGTTCGAGGCCAGCCTCGTCTACAGAGTGAGTTCCAAGACACCCTCCAAAACAATACAGAGAAACCCTGTCTTGAAACCCCCCAAAAAAGATATAAAGAGAAGGAAGGGTAGAGAGATGATAAGATAGTGTTGGTACTTAAGTACTCTATAAATATTAAAGAACATTGAGGCAGTTGCTGGGGAGATACCTGAGTGGTTAAGAACACTTGCTGCTCCTATGTACCATCTGAGTTTGGTTCCCAGAACCCAGATGGTGGCATAGCAACATGTAACTCTAATTTAAGGGGATCTCTTATGGCCTCCTCAGGCACTGGACATGCATGTGGCACACATACATACATGCAGCGAAACTCTTATACACATTAAGAAAATATAACAAAGGCCATGGAGAGGCAAGATTTTGCTCTTTGTCTTCAAATTGCTACACACTTAGAGTAAGGAAAGGGATCCAGGAGGTCATCTTGGCTTGTATACATGATCACCACATTATAGGACAAAGAGTATAGCCTTATAAAGGGAGTGGGTTCTACGGTTAGATTTCTGTATGACCTTGGCTAAGCCTGGAACTT